TTTCATTAAAAACAACTTGTTCGATATCCCACTAGCCACATTTGGGTTCCCACAGAATATCTCTTCCTGGCCTCAGTGTCCTTCCTCAGAGCTTGAGGACTGATTGAAATCAGCCAAATTAGATTCTCTTATCTATAATTTATCAGTTTCTGCCTACAGTACAGTATAGCCTCACACAAGAGGACTTATTCTACAGGTACAGCTGTAAGTTTTCCTTTTGTACGTACTGTATATATTTTAGCATATACATATATTCACCTTGAAGTTCATTCTCTAACATAACTTCACTGTACCTCTTCTTGCACTTCTATTTAGATGTTTAACTCTGTTTTTCCACAGTTTGACACCGTGAAAACAAACAGAACCCTTACTGGTACTTTCACTAGGCCTTGAACACTAAAGGAAAGAAAAATCTCAGATGTAGAGAAGTGTACTGTTATTTAATATAAACACTAGTCCAAGTTGTTCTGGTCAAATCATGACTACATTACAGTGTAAAGCAGCGTGAGAATAGGACATATACAGAGCTCATAAAAACGCCATAAACAGACATGCAGCAGAACAGCTGGCGTTCATGACATCTTGTTTTGTGCAGGCAGGTTAGTCAGCTGCTGCAGGCTGACTGACTGATGCTGGACGGGGCCCTCGTTGTACACATCCATATGTCTCTTTCACTGAAGCATCCCGGTCCGTGCAAGCATACAGGTCTATGTAGGGATTCAAAGAAAATGGAGGGACAGAAATAGGGCAAGAAAAAAAGCTTTGCTTATTGTTAATTATTAAGGGTAAGAAGTGCCTGAAATGAACAACACATTTACCACTTTTACTGTATTTTACTACTTTCATAGACACTAGTTTAGTAAATACTATTTTTCAAGCGTAAATCGTTGACAGTCTAGGAAAATCCTACTGGACAATAAGCCTAAAGATACACCAATGTACTGTGCTTTCATACAATTATTTTTGTAAGGGCACCTGAAAGGTGACTATTATTTTACCCTGTTATCTATATTGGTCTTTTCCATAGACTACATAAAGACATAGCCATGGACATATCACCCATTAGCATGTTGACTTCCTTTTTAAGGCCTCAAGTGTGCAGTCCCTGCAGCCACCATATTGCTTTTCTGGTGCCAGAAGGTACCACATTTGGAGGAGAGGGTGGTTAGAAAACGTTAAGTTATCAAAGCTAAACACGACATCTGTGGCTGACTTAGTAGCAGGCTAATGTGCAACTTAATCATAGTGATTCCTTTTTTTAGCTGCCACAGATCTGTATTTATTAGACACAAAAATACTAAGCCAGCCTATATGTAGCAGGATTGTCAATCACTCGCACGCATGCTCAGTTAGAGAGCATCAAGTAAACATTATATAGCCTACTGGATAACCTAATAATCACTCTCCTCATCACTACTGCATTGAATGAGCTACAAAGCAAGTTATGCCAAATGCAGCATCCCTGATAATTACTGCCAAACAAAAAACAACAAAATAAATGTAAAATTGGTCTGTCAGACATATTTCCTTGAAATATTTTTGTCTACAAAATCTCCTTAAAGGCACCAACAAAAGAAACACCGCCCAGAGGTTAAGTCGTGATCAGACAGCTCCTGGCAGCCATCTATCTCTCAAAGTGACATGCCCCTCATGATGTACTTCATCCTTAATCCTTGATTTAACTTGAATAGGTGAATTATATCAAACTTATCGCCCAAGCTATCAGGAAAGAAACGAGCTGTAGATATAGGCTTCAGGTATAGGCTTCATTTCTCATCTCTGGAGGTTACCATTTAGTTGCTGAAACACTAATAGTTACTTTTAATTGTTGTACGTATGTTTGATTTTTGATTTTTAACTTCTTGTTATTTTTAATAATTATATTCCTGTTTCCTGTTTTGTTGAGCTGTTGTAATGAAAAAATTTCCCCCATGGGGGATCAATAAAGTTTATCTTCATCTTTATCTTTAATTCAACTGGTACAGCGAGAAAGTTGACCTCTTATTTCTCTAGCTTCAGTGCAACGTAGCTTTTTAGAGTAAATCCCTGTTACAGTTTGGAAAAGGGAGAGTGTACACGGTGACGACAATGGGAAGAAAGTTTTTCTGATCCCTCGGAGGTTACAAGTTCAAACATGAACAAGAAACTCAATAAAAGATTAATCTATTGAGTACAGCACTTAACAAGAAATATGAGCATTTTTTTCTGCAGAAGATAATCCTGAAGTTGTAACCCGGGCAGAGACACTTGTCCCTGCTGCATTTAAAAATTCAAAAAATGTTCCCTCCCCTGCCCTTTAGTTACATCCTGTGTGTCCCATAACAGAGCCTAAAGCTAATGTTGTTGTTGCATAAGAGATTATCTTGACTGTTGTTATCTTTGCCCTGGCTTGTAGAAATCAAATTCTGTTGCAGTAAAAAAAAAAAAAAAAAAGGAATAATCTCTCTTATTGCTTTATGAAGCAAATGTTGTTATGACATGTGAGCGTCACCGTAGAAACAGGCTCATGCTGCTGAATTGTTAAAGTCTTACAGTGTGTTAGTGTTGTGTCAGCACTCGTGTAACTTTAGGTGTGTGCTGGAGGGGGCTGTGTGTGTAATGTGACCTTGTGTTGCCATGCAGCAGTCACAAACTCCCCTGACAGTCATTGTGTTAGTCTGATGGTGCTCCACCTTCAAACAACGGCCCTGTCTTTGACAGAAACTCTTCCAACATGCAGCGCTCTCTGTGGAGAAGAGATCCTCAGATTCTCCTGTTGAGTCATGCAGTCATGACGACACAGGGACCCCCCGCTAAGCAGATATTAATAATTAGGATCCATATCTTATGAGTCATAGCGTTAGTTGTATGTGCTCCATTAAGACTCATGCAGAGTAAAGCGCCAGTATACTGCTCTCTTACAGGCGCATTTGTCAGCGAAGATCTCCCTTCAACGCTGAAACATAGAGAGTGGTCTCTGTGCGTAGCATGGTGTGCCAAGCCGTGAGGGAAGGGCCCACCACATGTAAACTAGCGTAATAGTTTTTCCAAGAAGATTGGGCTCGAAGACCTTTCAAGAAAAGCAACTTGTGTTGGGGTTGTAAGGAAATCGATCAAAAAGTAAAATGTTCTTTCACAGTTGTATTTATTGATTAGTTTTGGAGGCCCAATGCTGTAAAACTACTCAGGTTTTCAGAAAAGAGGGAAAAACTTCAGAAAAGTCAGAAGATTATGCATAAACGTGTAACAAAAAAAGAAGAAGGTTACTGTACTTTGTCAGTGGAAAACTGTCATTCAGTTTCAATCACACTGATCAAGCATCAAGTGGCTGCGTCTGACTCTTTGAAGCAACGGATCAATAGAATAGAATAGAATAGAATAGAATAGAATAGCATATATAATATAATACTCAATGGTAGGAGGTTGACATGAACAAACAACAGAGAACAACGGGCTAAAAACAACAAATATTGTCACAGAAACAGAAATACATAAATCGTCATAAAAGTCAGCACAATTGCACTTGGAAAATAGGCAGCCAATGAGCACACAGCTGCCAAATGAAAGGGAAAACCCTGCATGGATTTGGTAACTCAAACTAAAGCAACTACTTCTACACCTAATCGTATCTTGGCAGATATACTGTGAGAGTGAGTTGTTACAGCACCCACTGCTACCTTCATGGCAACATGGCTTGTGTCCCTCAGAACATCAGAAAGTGAAGAGAAGAACAAAAATGTCTTCAGATATTTTATTTTTTTTATAAATTAAACTGAAAAATGAATCGTTAAATTGTATAATATGCCTGTATTTGAGTCTTCGCTGAGATGTGAAGAGCTGCCCTCTGAATCCCAGTCAGAAATGGTTGCAGAATCGTGATAAAAAAAAAAATGTACATACTGTATATGCTGCAGAAATATTACTCAGCAGGATTTTACAAGAACAAAGAGGGGAATTTCTTTGATTATTTGTGGTCGGACAGGAACAGTGACAGCCTCAAAAAAAAAAAAAGGGAAAGGGGTGGGAGGAGACAGACAGACAGACAGACAGGCAGACATATGCCGAGACAAAAATGTGACAAATTCTACCGAAAGATCCTAACGCAATCACAGAATGCCTCTTGCAGTCCAGATTACCTTTATATTTATCACGAAGTAGCGTTACGCGCGGCAGACTGTTAAGCGGCTCGATGTGTCTGAGATGTGAGCAGCCGAGAGGCGTCACACACACACACACACACACATACGGCGCTATGATTCCTCTGTGGTCATGCATGTAGTAAGAAAAAAAAAAAAAACACAGAGGGAGAGAGTGTGAGGCAGCCTTATCAGTGTTAACCATGTGTGCGCAGTGGGCTGAAGCGTGATGGAGCTGCACATAGCCTACATCCTCGCGCTTGTTTCAGACGCTGAGGGGGAAACACAGAGAGAGGAAAACGGTATTGTATCTGTCGCCACACCCATCACATAAAGCCAGACACGGCAAAAGAGAGCGTTTTATGTCGGTGACAGCGACATGACAACAGCCGACGGCTATGGGTGAGCGACGGATGATTCACACACACACACACACACCTAACAGCGTCCCCTCTCTTTCAAGGCAGAAACACTAAAAACCCGCAGAAAATGTGCCAATATTGATGAGTGATAATGCAAAAGGGTGTGTGTTGTGTGTGTGTGTGTGTGTGTGTGTGTAAATGGATGATGGGCGGTGATGGTGCACGTGGGGGCCAGTTTAAAGGAGAGGTATTTAAAGATGTGGACACGTCCCTCTGTCAATGCGCATGATACTGCGGTTCCACTACTATGGCACGCTCCAACTCACCTTGAATCGGCGCTCCTGTCATTCGGGTGCGGGGCTTGTACGGAGGACCAATACACGCCCCAAAGCCTCAATCAGCAGCCAATCCAATGACGGCAGAGGCGGACCTGTGGCTGCATTCTCACACTTGGTTTCACTATGCGCTCGTAAAAACGGCTCCGTCTACTACAAACGCGGCGGTGCAGGTGCTCTGTCTCTTCGGGAGAGGATGCGGATGGAAGGACGGGGGAGGGAAGGGATGAAGGGAAACGCCACGAGGAGAGAAAATAGGATATGAATAGGGGGCTTCTGCCGAAAAGACCGTGAGGTGCAAGGTCGAATATGAGAGATTGGTTGAACGGGGCACTTTGCGTGGTAATAGCTGGTCGGCAATAGTACTATGATTTGGTATGTGGCCACTCTGATAGCAAGTGTATTCAGCACCAGAGGAACGGCCGCTCAAGGTGAGTTGAAGTGCAATATATCTTGTGCGGCACCAAGCATATGATTTCTGCTGTGTTCGCGTGCGCTTGCTGCTGCATTTGCTTTTTCTGTGTTAGCTCGTGTGAAGTGTGGGGCTTTTTTTTTTTTTTGTTACATTCTAACAAATGGCTGCATATCTGATATGTCACGTGAAAGTTCAGCCCTGCTTAAACCGTATCAGGGAAACGGCAATTGTCTTGAGACGGCTCATGTGCTTGAAATGTGAGACAGGATATTGGGTACAAAAATGTGTAGAGTGATTGACCAATGCAAAAGATAGCCTGATTGATAAGGCTTGTCGGTGGCTCACAGGCCTGCATTGTGGGATCCATGATGGCTCATTTGTGTGATAAAAACAAGCAGCATATTGGAGATAATGTCCCCGCTGCTGAGGGGAAATGTGTGCATTGTATCATAGCAAGCAGTCCCATTTGAGTTCTCCAGAGAGGGGTGTGACCGTCTCAGCCCTCCAGATGGAAAAAGAACCTTAATAATGCATTGCATGTCAGATAAAATGCACTCTTGAATTGATAGTGCATGTGTGGGATTTGTATGCTGAATTCCACATTGCACATGGAGATGGTCACAGTGTTGTGTGTGTGTGTGTGTGTGTTTCACGGAGTAGGCTACACACACATGCAGCATCACTTGCCTGCTGCAGATCTATCATAAACTGTTCATTCCTGGAGCAACAAACTGCACAATTTCCCCTTTTGTTCTCATTTCTTCTCTGCACTCTCTGAATTGACCCATGTACTTACTTAACCTTGCTTTTCCACTGGTGTCCAGATGAGGGAGACATGTGCCAAGCTGTCGCCTGGTAACTGATCCCAATGACCCCCCTCATATACCCAGTCAGAACTGGTCTGACTCCTTCTGTAATGATAGCCATGATTAAGCTGAGCGAAAATGAATAAAACACTTCCCTTAATGATGCAGCTGAAACATGTCTCTTAATGGTCTGACTGATCAAAGAAGAAATTCTCCATTTCATGACGGGATAGATGTGGCTTAGAAACGTGGACTAAAAAGGTGTTGTCTGGTATCGACACTGCAATGAGGGTGATTTACTTTTGGCTGCACCAGAGACTCCCAAATCACAACGTAGTCTGCCAGTAATCACTAATGAGCTGGTCTACTTCCTCTACAGTGTCTGAACCCAGTCTGATGCAACACAGAGCCCCTGAAATTCATCTTAAGACCAACTGTGACCAGTTTTACACTCCTTTTTGCTAATTGCAGCACACTAAAGAATCACCAGAGTTCAAGTGTATTTGACAATATTTATGCACTTTTGATATCATAGATGTCTAGTTCAATACAATAATTGTAGCATAATCCCTTTATAGGATGGTGTCTGAGGAAAGGCCTGCGTAAAACGCCAACTAAGAAAAGTACACCAAAAGAAATTCAATGAAACATTGACGTAACATGTTTTTTGCTTTACTGAACATTTCTTTCTTGGAGCTCAAAGTTTAAGGAAATAAGCTGGAAGGAATGGAAACAACGCCCTGGCTCTTCCTAAATGTACAAAGGTCTCCCCAGCACTACCTCCCTTGCTCAACAATTGAAGAGTATTCTTTATCATACAAAATGTGGAGTGTAAAATCAGGAATTTGGGTCGTTACAAGTGGGACCAAATCTTGGTTGGGAACTGTTGTGACTCCCTCAAGTTTTGTTCTCACCTTGAGATTCCAGGAAGTCACAAATCCTGAGTAAAGTTTGTTTATTTTTGAAATTATTTAAACAAGCAAAATATGATGTTTATTGGTTAGCTTTCGAATAGACGGCTAGTAGAAGAGGCTACTGTTGGAGGTTGCCAGGCTAACTGTTTTCCCCTGTTCCCAGTCTTTGTGCTAAGCTAAGCTAACCAGCTACTGGCTTGCTCTTCATTGTGCTTACACACAATTGGTTTGATCTTCTGATCTGTCTCTCAGCAAGAAAGGGAGTAAGGCTATTTCCCAAAATGTCAACCTAAATCTTTAAATTTGCTGCCATCAGATCATCATCTGTGACAATAAGCTGCAAACCACATGCTATTCTACTGAATGCCAAGGCCTATAGATCATATGAGCTGTTTTAACACCTGCCTTGTCCACTGAGAGCCAGCATCATCCAATGCGTTAAGATTGGAAGTCATTCTACCAATTAGAAAATCCTATAATAAAGAAAGTTTACTAATTTTTCATTGTCAGAAGATTGATAACATGAATAAATGTGTGTTTATTTCCTCGTGTTTGAGAGATACAGGTCAGATTTGAAGGTACCAGTGAACCTAAATCAAAGCAGATGGTCCAAAGATAACTCGCTGAAAAAAACAAACAGAAGAACAGTTGGATAAGGGCAGCTCTGTTGGGCCGAGACTTGGCTCCTTCCGCTTAAGTATCTTGTTTGCGCATTGTTGGAAATGAACAAAAGACTGATGATACGTAGGAATCATACATTTCAACATTTAGATTAAGCAAGGATAAAATAGAACCAATCTAAACTCCAAAGGCCTCTTACTGTAGCCTTTACATTGTGCAAGCAGCATGAACTTGTTTGTGCATTAATGCAAAAGACGTGTTCATTATAAGAAATTTAAGAATGACAATTTGATAATCTTTTGATACCCTTGTCTACACGTGATACATGTTTGCCTGCAGAGTGTGTCTAGGCATGGTATTGCAGCACATTGGCAGAGCTGCAGCAGCTTTAATGCTCAGTCTGAGTCGACACAGGATGTGTTCAAGAACAGCAATGCATGTGTCCCTCCTGCTTTCTGGCAGCACTCAGCGGCGCCCAACGCACCAAAAGTGTGACTCGACAATCCAAATGAAGGAACATAGAGTTTGGGTTACGCTTTTGCAGGTGGTGTTAAAATAGAAGTGTAAATATTTGTGTCAGACACACATGAGACGGTGTGCTAAAGAGCATGACGGAAACACAGAAGAACCTCTTCTGGGCTTTTTTTTGTTTTGCTGCAAAACACTGATTTGCAGCTGAAAGAAAAAAACACGTGCACATTACAGTTATAACACGCGTGTTATAACTGTAATGTGCACAGTCTTGGACAGATGACAGCACTGTGATGTAACTGGCAGGCAAAGAATCCAATGTTATGGCCAAGTTGTGGTGCTGACGCTGGCTTTTCAGGCTAGAAATGGTGAAATACTCATTACAGCAAAAAAAATGTTTTTTAGACCCTCCTGCATGTTATAATAGACCAGAGCGCAGTGTTTTGCTGTCAGATAAGACATCAAACTCCTTAATGTACTTGGTCGACTAAGTTTCCATCTCCGATGCAGCTCATTGTGTTTTGTTTTTTTTAATTAAAGGCTGTTTTAAGTCTAAACTTGTGGTTAACAGCCTAGCTTTCTTCAACCAATAAGGTTTCTTGCACCTTGTCAATGATCTCCTGAATCTGGAGAGTCTTATTATTCTTGGCGAGTGTTGGAAGTGTTATTTTCTTTCACTGAGCTGTTGTATTAGTCTGTGGATTATCTGTTAAATGAGATAATGAATTCAACTTTAAAAAGGAAAATAACTGATATGTCTGTTAAATAATTAAATTAACCAACCATTCCTTAATGTAAGAATGCTGAGGCATAGATTGAAATAGCAAACTATTCAGGTGTACCAACAGAACCTCAGACACACTGCTATATTGATATATTGCTGGCCACCGCCGGCGCTCAGCAGCCGAGACATAAGGCCTGCCTGTCGGCGGCGGTGAGGACAAGGAGCCGGGGCCGGCTCGAGCTGGGGCGGACAGGTAGTGTCGGTGCTCCCACTGTTTGCCTATGGACACAGACATAGAGTCTGTTTTCTGCCAGGAATTTCCAAGATGCCAATTCTTCCTGGAAAAAATCTTGGAATCAGTTGAGGAAACAGCCGTATGTGTAGTCTGTAAATATAGGACCTTAGTGGGAGTGGCTCAGTGGGTAGAGCAGGTGCCCCATTCACAGAGGCTTTGGTCCTTGAGGCATTGGCCACAGGTTCGACTGTCGACCACGACCATTCATATCCTGTCTCTGAAGCTTGCCTATCATTTTAGCCATATGGAAAAGAAAATGTAGGTTTGCACTTTCTGTGGACAGCTTCCCTAACAGAACAAGCATGGAAGATAAAATGATCAAGACTTATCATGCACCAGTTCACATATCGTCTCGTTTTTACTTTAGTCCTCAGGAAGTTATAGCAAAAGAAAGCTAAAGGAGAGATATTGCCACTGAAAGACAAACAAATGAAACCTACAGTTGATTGGAATAAAATAAAGGTTTTCATTGAAGGATAATTGGGATAAAATGGGTACAAATTCAACAAAACACAAGTCTTGTCGTTTCTTAGACGTCCTAATGACGTAATGTTATATTATATGCCTGTAATTACATAAGTCAGTGAATTAAACAGAAAGTCTCCGGTACCAGCCATCAGTCACAAAAAATGAACGGTCAAAGAAGTTTCCTTGTGCCAAGTGTCCGTTGGGGAGGCAACATATGTTCGGGCGACTCGAGGTTAGTTCAACAAAGTCAACGGTGACTTGGCAACAGATCAAGGTGGCACAAGAGGGACGCTGATGGCTATACAGAAGTAATTAAATGTCATTGGCAAGTGTAGGGGAGTGTTATATTTGAAGGACTATTTTCAGCCTGACTCACTGATGGCAGACGGACCCTCCTCTCAGGTCCTGTTCTGGGACTTTGTGTTTTTAGAAGCTTTTGTTGCGCTGGCTTTTGACCAGATGGTATTCATCTGTACTGCCCTTCTTGTGAGACCACTCCTTGATGTTGCACGGGATGCTGATCTCCCTCGTGGACCGTGGCTTTGCACACTTGTTCTTGTCGCTGGGTTTTCCTTCTGAAGGCGTGTGTCTCACAGACAGAGAGATATACAGTAGAAGCAGACAGTATTTGAGGCAGTGTCAAAACTGCCACTCAACATATCTGAGGCCTCCCTGTGGTAACAAAGCAGCGTCTGAAAGCCCTCCTACTGCGTCTGG